CATTCCCAGTATGCATCTCTTCTTGTCTTCAACGCTATTTGTGATTGGCAGTCAGGCAGTCGGCGATCGAACCATCGCCAAGACCTGAGTCTCTAGAATCCTTGAGTACAAAACCTGCGTCAGCTTGTATCATTTTTGTGGCGTCATTTTGTCGAGCTGTTCAATTCGGGCTGGGGCTACGTTGGGCGGCGGAACTTGGGTATTGGCGCCGTCGGTGTTACAAGCTATCTCGCTATCTACTATCGCGTTGTAGTATTTGAAAGACGATGGATAAAGACTGTTGTGTCCTTTGGACGGGAAATTGAACGGCAATCTGGGAGTGAAGGACAGTCAGCAATTTGACGCGCAAGATGGAGGGGGATCGCTGCCACATGCACTGTCTTCCGAGGCAAGACGTGAAAGTAGTAGCATTGAACGACGCAACTCGGGCCTGCTGTGTCCATAAACAATGCAGAAAACCATGAACAGAGAAGTGAGGAAGTTACCTGGATGAAGTATAACCAGTGGCCAGGCTCTTGCCAGCCAGGACAACCACTAGCCTCGACGATAATGGACCATCTCGCAACGAATGACGAGCTAGCCAGCCTGTCAAGCATGGAAACAGGGGCTTGAACGAGAACGGACCGGGAGAGCTCATCCAACTCTTTACGCATGACCAGCCGGGTCAGAAGAACATCTCTTCATTTGGGCTTGGCGTTCGGGGGGTGGTACCTTGTTGTAGTCCAGCCATTTATATACTTTGGGGGTTATACATAGCATTCTGTCCGTTTTCTCACGATCCTCAAGCATCGAATTCACAGGATCAAAGCATCATGCCCGAGTCCAAGCTGACCATACGCTCGTAACAAGTGCCCATGGCACAGGGGCGTCGCACAGTATACACCTTTCCATCTCCAGCCCCAACACCATACCAGGGATCCCGTTGCGAGCGCTGCAGACGAGGCCCGGCAGCTTTCAGGGGCGGGCAGCCTCGATTCCACCCACCATCCGATTTACGAGACATGCACAAAAACTACTATCCTCGAGAACTAGCTTTTTCAGATCAAGTCCAATAAAGTCCCAACGGGGAGACCGACTCCTCTTTATCACAGGCCAGAAGAAAATCCTCCTGTATATCCCTTTCACGACAGCACGTGCTCCCGTCATTGGTCCATACCGACCTTCGTACATCCACGCCCCCCTTCGCCCCCACCCTCTCGTCTCTCATGCCGCGCAGAATGAGGTACAACGGCAGACTCTGGACCTAGCGGGATCCCCGGTCGCTTGATGGGGTGTTTTGCGTGTCGTACCTGGCTGATGTGCGTCTTTCAGCAGCAGCAGCAGCAGTCGCACCCAAGCTGCCGGATTCGAGTCGTGGGCCGGCTGCGACTCTCGGCAGAAGCAAAGGATGCAGGCCATGTTCATGCATGGAAGGTAGCTCGTGGATGGGGGGGGTGGGGCAGGAGTGGATCGCCGAGCTGAGGCCGGCGCCGTCCGGGTTGTGGTGACTAAGCTGAGGCAGGACACAACTGGACTGGTGAGCCTTTCAAGATCACATCTGGTGTCGTTCTACATGCGCACGACTGAAATAAAGCCACACTATAATTAGTGACTTTTTGTGCGTCATGTACTTTCTGAATTGTATCAACCAGACGGCATCAGCCACAAAGAGTATGGGCTTGGGTGAATTTTCAACCAGGATCCATCAAGCAAACTGAACAATAGAACAATCGCAAGCAACTGCAAGTATGGAATGAGCGAGTATTTTTATTCAGCGCGCTCTGGATATCACAATCTAAGTAAAGAAGACACCAATTAAACATCTATGCACCGGAATTCCAAATCCCTACACCATCGTGACCTAAGCAAAGCTGGGCGTGTTGACGGCGAGAGCCATCAGGAGACCGCCGATGGCGCCGGCGATGGGGATGGTCATGATCCAGGAGAACATGAGGAGGCCAACACGCTGCCAGTTGACAGCCTTGAAGGTGCCGTTGCACAGACCGACGCCGACAGTGGCGCCGGTGATGCACATGGAGGTGGAGACGGGCAGAGAGTACTGGGAGAAGATGAGAATGGTGATGGCAGCACCCATCTCCATGGAGGAGCCACGCGAGGGGGAGTGGTAGGTGATCTTGTTGCCCATGACTGCATTGTGCGTTAGTGCTGGGACCCAGTGAGATGTGTGGTTATTGAGAAGAAAGCTTACCCTTCATGATGTTGTAACCGTAGGTGATGAAGCCGAGGCAAATGGTGAGAGCGACGACGGCAATCTGCCACAGAGGAACGGGCTCCTTGGAAGCGGCGGTCTTGCCAGTGCTCCAGGCAGCGTACATGCCGGCCCAGACACCGACGGCGTTGCCGACGTCGTTGGCACCGTGAGCGAAAGAGGCGGTACAGGCAGTAATAACTTGGACGAAGGAGTACAGGTGCTCGACCTCGTTGGCGTACTTGGGAGCGTGCTTGTAAACGCGGTCCATACGGCGACCCTCAGGGGTGCCGAGGACACCGACCTGGGCCTTGTGGATGTCGTAGCTGATACCGTAGGTGAGGGCGACAACGATCTGAGCGGGCAGGCGGACGCAGATGGCCTTGAGGTTGTGGAGCTCGTAGACGGAACCGGCGCCCATGGGGTTGTTGTGGAGAAGACGCATGGCCCAGCCGAGGGGACCACGCTGCTTGCGAAGGGAGGCGTGGTGGCGCTCGCGGGCACGCTTCAAGAGACGCTTGTAGGCTTCCTGGGGCGTCTCGTTGTACATGAGAGCCTTCTCGTTGTCGCGGGCGACAGCCTGGTGCTTCTCGGCGGGGATGGAGGCGGTGATGTCGTCGGCGCTGGACTTGTCGTTGGCGCTGGACTTGTCGTTGATGACATCGCCCTTGATGCCCTGCTCGGGACCGTCCTGGTTCTCCTCATCATCATCGTCCCCGCCGTGCTTCATGACAGCGTAGTCAGGAACATCAGCGAACTCAGCACCGGGAGGGGCCGGGCGACGGAAGAGGAGGGGGCCCTGGAAGACGTTGTACCAGCGAAGGGTGTTGTCCTTCTTGATGACCTTGGCGTGGACGTAGGGAACGAAGAAGAGGGCAGAAAGGAGAGCCAGAGCGAAACCAGTGCCGAGCGAGACACCGGCAATGAACGAAGGGGGCTTCTTGGCGAGGCCAAGACGAGGAGAACCCTTGTAAACGATCGACAGGGTACAGATGGTACCGGCGATGAGGAAGAAGAAGGGAGAGGTCCAGACGGCCCAGGGCACGGGGTTGGTGCGGAGGTGGACAGTCAGCTTGACCAGCATGAAGATGGTGGCAGCGAAGAGGCGGAGATGGCGGGGGCCATGGCGAGACCGGCGAAAATGGCACCGAGGCCGGAACCGCCGCTCCATCCCCACTCGACGTTGCTCGCACCGACGGCGGCG